ATTCGGTTCTTCAGGTCATCATCGAGAGGAACCACAAATTGTGGTGTATCCGTCGAGTCGGTTTTAATACAGCATTCCGTTATGCAATGGATACTGGTGCAACCGTGCACGCAGTCGCGACAACAAATTCTTGTCCGAGTTTCCAGATTCCTTGCTCCCGAGAGCCTGTAGCAGCGCTACATTACCCGCGCTCGCGGCGCGGATCAAATTCATCACGGACGACATCACTTTCGTGACATTAGCAAGTTGTTAATCTGGTCTGCGCGACAGCACATCAGCTAATTCATTCTGGTTTCCTGGCTTATACCTCACCTTGGAGTTATATTCTAGGAATTAGGAGAGCCATCTGTCCATCCCTTGCGAGAGGAGAGGCGACTGAGTCGGAGTGCATAGTTACACATGATCTGTGAAGATCACATTCGACTTGGAGCCAAGCAGGTGCACCCTGAAGTTGACAAGTGCATACTTCATCGCAAGAAATTTCTCGTCGTGGACTGGATAGTTCGCCTCTGCAGCCTTAAGCTGACGAGATCCAACCGCGATCGCCCGATCTCGCGCCTCTGCATTTGCTTGCAGCAGTACATAGTCAATGGCAAAGTCCGAAGCGTCACAGAAGACACTAAAATGACGATCGGGGTCTAGCAAAGCCAGTATTGGTGCATGAAGGAGGCTATCTTTGATTCCGTAAAAAGCACCCCGCTGCTCGGTGTTCCAGCACCATTCCGCATCCTTCTTTGGTAGATTCGACAATGGCCGTGACATTTCCGCATAATTCTTGCTGTACATGTGCAAGCCGCTGGCAAGGCCAAGCCACTTGCGCAAGTCCTTTTGGTTCTTTGGAGCCGGTCAGTCTACAATGACCTTGACCTTAGCGGGATTCGCTAGAAGACCACGCTATCCAATGAAGCACCCTAATGAGGTGATATCTTCCGCGCAGCAGATGCAGTTATCCGCATTAACATACAACTTATTCGTGCGCATGCACTAAAGCCCCGCACTTAAGTGAGCGATGTGATTTTCTCATCTATATTCCCATGCCCCGCACGACTGTGGACGAAGAGGCCGTCGAAGTATGTCTGTGTATACGCCCGGTGGGGCCTGACCAACAGCGTCGCACGATGATTAAATGTTGCTAGTGCATTTGCCAGTCCTTGGGGCATCACGAGCCACTTCCAGAGCAATCCGCTCGGAATACCCATCGCTGTCAGCGGAATATCGTTCGCACCCATGAGCAATTGGTAATTCCTTCGGCCAAGTCGAGAGCACTATACTTTGTACAGCCACCCATATTAGACATTTTTTCTAGGAATCGGCGTCTGTGCCGGTATGTTGGCAGCGTTAAGCTTATTGTAAGCGTGAACAATACGCCACTTGCAATTTTGCTTCCGGTCAAAAAACGTGGGTGTTGATTAGGGAGACTTGCTCTTACTTATCATTCCTGCGTCGTGCTTGGCATAAACGATAGCGTCAATGACGCCACACTGCTCCTCCCGCTGGGACCATTGGCGAGTTACGCAATATTTGGTTCCCGGAACCAGGTTGATCTCATGACGCACACCTCGGTCTGTAGGTAGGACTGATGGCGGATCTTTGGAGATGACGACTTGAAATTCGTGCACTAAAAGATAGTACGGATCTGACGGATTCTTCAGGGTTGAAGATTTAATTCGGGGGCTCAACACCCTCTTGGTGTCCTCCAAGACAACTTCATACAGAAGCGACGACGAGTGATCTCCTCTTCCGGTTGTATAATGACCATTTCGGCTAAGTCGCATACCTTCAAGGCACCGCCGAACTCTTTGAAGAACGTCTTGACCAGCTCAAGAAGAGCATCCGCCGCAAGAATAGCTTCGAGGGTGATGTCGCCGTCTTCCTCCCCCGACATACTGTTGACGAAGGTGCGCCACCGTCTACGGTAGACACACCCTGTGTCAGGGCCGACACCCGGCGTCTTGTAGCTAGCACACGGCATCGCCGTCGCCTCTCCACAAAGGTTGTACGTCTTGGCGAGACTAGTGGGAACACGAACTAAGCGTCTTCTAGTGTTAGTCCACTTCCTGCCCCACCGTAGCCCTGATGTTAAAATTCGACAAAGAGCTGCTAGTTCCGCAATCTTCGTCCAGTGGATAACGTGCCATTCCACGCGTATCACAAGGGCTTCGCCCTCGATGCCCGGACCTCGTCCGACCATTCTACGCTTGTCATGCAGCAACAGCTTCGTAACGTGAGCAGTGCTCAGTGGGTTACGTGCCACTTCACGTTCAGCCCGCGAGCCATGCTCGGGACTCTTATCCAATACAAATTCGGTGTTTGACAACTCGGATACTCCGATACCAGGCACATTGACCGTCCTGGTCTAGTGCATACGCCGATAGCGTTTTTCCTTCTTATAAGGGGTAGGTTCATGACTCACCAAAATCTCACCAGGAGGCATACGCGTAGCGCCCAAGGTCTTCGACCTTCAGTCGATCCATGGCTCATGGTATCCAAACCATGCCATACCAAGGATAATGTCATAACTTGAATCCAAGTCTGAGACTAAGCAGCGTTCCACGCTATCAAAGTCGAAAAACTTGACATTGAGGTCGACATAGACCGTTGGCACCATGATACGTGTCCCGGTCGCTTAGGACGATGTCTTTAAACCGCGCTTTCAGCACCTCAGCATACAGCTGACTTCCTTCCATCGTGGAGCGTCGAGCATTATTGCCGAACGCCCCGAAGTCGATCAAAATCTTCCATGGCTTCTCGTGGCTTTTCACGGTCTCTTCCACGACCAGCAAGTCCGGCTCGCATATACGTTTCGTGTTCAAGAGCACGGAGCTCTTCGGGATGGTCCCTGCTGACCAGTAGCCCCTTAACTCTTACCGTAACTCAGTTTCCCCAGTAGGCCAACCCTCGCCTTCTGGGTGTTGTCGTTTGCTCGCGACAAACCAGACTAGTGAGAAGCGCGACGTCGATTCGATAGACCTTGAGGCGCCTTGCACAGGGAAAACCGATCCGAAGGTGACATTTGACTCCATCGACAAAACATCATCGGGTGTTTGAACGCTGCTCGGCAGCTCGGAGCTGTGCCTCCATGTCATCAGCATAGCTGAGACCCATCGGCTCAAGCCCGCTCGACAAGCTCTGAGGTTGAGCATTCCAACCAAGTCGTGCCACAAAAAGTTGAAATCGGCATTCAATGCCACATTCAATGCTTCTTCAAATGAAGACGGGTGCACACGGAAGGCTTCAATTCTGATCACGCCAGTGCGAAGGCCCCCATAAAGACGGACACTGTGACCGCCTCGGGTTGCCATACCGGCAATTGGAGTACGCAACTGACCACCAACTCCTTCTTGCCCAGTCGAGCGGCAACGTAACACGTTCGCACGCAATATTCTTCGTTAGGTGGCCACAACACTCGTGAAAGCTGCAATTTCAGAAAGGAAACATCTGTGCGAACAAAGTGTCGCACGTCACTGCCCATTCTCGCACTTGAACATAGGCTTGAAGATACTAGTGCCACCGACTACTGCTCGGTCTCGAACATAGAGGGCGCCATGGCCATCTCGTCCTCTCTCACCCGGAGCAGAAGATTCTCTTCATCCTTGCCCTCAAAAGTCTTAACACTTACCATGAGCGCCATGGGTCGGCCGTCGGCGACGGTGGTGTCATGGACGCGGTCGACGTCGATATCAGCTGCTATAGGTGCTCTAACAGAGCATTTTTACAGCTTGAATTGCCTCTAGGTGTGCTCTGCTCGCTTCAAGTTCTTGTGAAGCTAGGTATTACACGCCCGCAGGGCCAAGCTGACAAATCAGCTTTTTAAGCCCGTCCTGCATGCCGTGGGGTAAATAGAAGAACTGCTCCATTCTCACCGAGCGTCAGTTGTAACGACTCAGGTTTAAATTGTCCAGCGAGTGCTTTATAAGCGCAACGGGGCTGCTGAAGCTTTTTCGCTTAGAGGAAGCTAAGTTTAGGTCGGCGACATTCGTTCTATAATTAGATCTAATACGAGTGTAGCGGATCGCAGCCCGCTTACTCCAAGAGTAACCACAACCTTATCCCAAGGCTATTTAACTCTTTTGTTTAAATTGTTAACTGTATTCCTCGGTTTTATTTGAGGCAAAACCGTCTATATGTAAGTCTATAGGCTTTCCTATCTATATAGCAAAACTTAGTTAAATGTATAACTGCTGGCTGTTCCAGCCACGTACTGATTTGCTGTTTAAGTGTTAGCCACACCATTATGTGGTCATACCATCTTCTATGACCCTGAGCAAAAACAAACCGACTACGGCTACAAATGCCATTACTCCAAATAATTTTGTTGTTGAGGTGGATTGTGGGTCCGTGGGCATAACAGATTACGACAGTGAAGCTTCCACCTGTTGTGCGGTTGATCACACGCATGAGAGAATTAATGGAATTTGTTGGCCGCGGTACAAATACTCCCGCTTTGGATGCGGTCGAGTCCGCGGCTGAGTTAGTCCAGCACAGTACTCCCCATGATGGAAATGCAGCATGCGAATATGCGGGTCCGCGTATCATGGATGCAACAACTAGACAGAAGCTGTGAGGGGTGCAGTGTATCTGATCAATAAGTCTGTAAATATTGAGCGATCGATCATCACGCCAATTGAGGTAGGTTCGGAGGAGAAGTCGCAGATGGAGCAGTTGCGTGTGTTTTGGCCTCAAAGGTGCGCCCACATCGACAACGCAACAAGGACGAAGCTTGATCCCAAGAAATTTGAGCGTGTGTCTTTCGTATATACAGAGAGCACAGAGGGGTACCGTATCTACGACGTGGAAGCGCCTAATGCCAAGGCAGCAAGATCAGTTAGGCTTGAAAAGCTTGAAGTGAACGGTATACTAGATACACTGTACCTAGGATAAGAAACGATCACATATGCTGCCGAAGAGAAAATGCAGTAGTAGCTTCGATTCTGGTGGACCGACGTCGGTTGCCGATTGAATCCATTGAGATCGTCTAAGAATCCGTTCACGGTTTTACGATGGATGAGATCGAGTTGAAGCCGGATACAAATGTGCAACAGCTTTTGGCACCGGAAGATGAGACGCCGACTGCACATGAACTGGCGAAACCGTGCCCTGTGATCGTTTAAGGGGGATCATTTGGTATTCCATCCACGGGCAGAACAATCAGGAGTCTCGAGAAACAGTATTTCTACTAGATGGCTTGGGAACGGATGGTAAACAAAGGTCAGGCGAGAGCAACGGTCCACCATCCCGAAAGCGTGAAAGAAACGATAAATATGGATAACTTACTGACGCAGTATTAGCATGTACGGATTGGATCGACGACGTTCGTGACACTCCCATACGCCGGAGCAATCACAAGTAAAGATGTAACGGGGTAAAACGTACCCTTGTATGAAAGGGCGGGTCACACAAGATGGTGTGACCGTACATATGTAAACGTAACACAAGTTGTAATCTCACGATGGTGTGGCTACAGCGTAACCAGAAGCCACTACATGGCAGGATTGCCAGTAGCTCTTCCATCGTCGGCAACGGTTGAAAAATACATCTACTCTGGTGACACGCCCTTTTAGCATTGAGCATTCTCCATAATCGTATGGTTCTTCCTTGCGGCCGCTACGTGCTGCTGGGGATTGAACGGAATAGTACGCTGGCACATGATGCCTTGCCGATTACACCTTACTATTAACGTATTTAGTTTCCTTGTCAAAGTGGAGACACTTGATTTATTCTCAGTGTTAGTTCTTGTAAAATGCGCCTTGAATTCTACAAGCTTGGTGGCAACTTCGCTCTTGTACTTCATGAAGTACATAGCCATAATGCGTGAGAAATTATTCAAAAATGCCTGCTCCTCCTTTTGTAACCGTTCGCATTGGCCCCATCACCTCGGTGTGAGCTAACTCAAACACGCGTGATGTCTTGCACGTCGGTCGTGATGGGAATGGTGTCACGATCTGCTTCCCCTTCATGCATCCACCACATAAAGGCTTATTGTCACTAATCACAGCTGGCTTACCGTTCGTGGCACGCTGAGTTTGAGTCATAACGCTCTCGCTTGGATGTCCCATGCGAGCGTGCCAGAGCTCCGACTAGTTGTCAACCTGCATACTCCATGAACAAGCTTTTTTGAGCCCGCAGTCAAGCACATAGGCCTTACCGGCCTTTTGTTCAGTACCGCAGCACTGCTTATGCCCCAGCTGACACATGAGGAATGCTGAAACTCATCACGTTAACCGCATCATTTTGTAAGCTTCCCAACCGACAGCATTTGTCTATCGAGTCGTGAAATGTACAGTGCATCCAACATTTATGATGCGCTTGCCATTAATCCTAGTTCCTCTACCCGAGATTCGCAATTGCTTTCTCAAGAAAGCATCTGTTTACATTGAAATATCTTAAATACCGTTGTAGCGATGATGCCAGTCGACCACTCTCAATTAAGTTAAACAGCAATAATGCACGTTTTTGAACCAGTAAACCATCTCGATGACAGCCTTCGATACCATGTCTAGCACATTTAAACTGCACAGGAACATTTTTAGTTTTTTCTTTTCGAGATTTTGTTTTTTAAGGTTAAGACTCAGTGATGAGTAATACCCGCAATTCGGTTAAGGTTTATGATGGGTACATACCCTTTTAAGCAAGTTAAGCTTTAGCGCACTATAGTTATTGAGTAATTATCACATCTTTAGATATTTTGCGAGATGTTGCATTCTTGGGTCAATCCATTTCGAGGATTGCAATGTAATGAACACTGGGGGAATGTAGAAGTCTTATCTTTGCTACTTGGTGATTGCGTTCATTGTAGCTAGACACGAATTCGATTGATCAACAAAGTATTTTGTGACGCCCAAACTCATTATACCTTTTATATGTGAGCAAATCATTCGACCTTTTCACTTATACTAAACTTTCGTTTGCATTGTCGATCAGCGATTTTCGACAAAGTGCAAAAGCGCTGATGTTATCATCAATGACAAGGGAAAAGCAGGTAAAGATGGTCGCAAATCGACTGTGTAAAGCACTGCAGAAGTTCAAAGAGCACAAAGTTATCAAAAAAAAAGTAAAGTCACGCTTACAAAGCTACGCAAATACATGCGGCAAAGTCGGCAACATCAAATCAGTTGTGCTCAGGGTATGGAGTTCTCAGTCTGTGAGTTTACGGTTCTGCTCTTATCTCATGACAATACTTAGGTCCACAATTGCCTTAACTGTGTTCACGCCACAGAGAATATTCGCTACGTAGAGGTATCGCAGTGTTTAAGTTCTGTATCGATCACTGATCGCTATCTTTATTGAGCGCAACCATGTTCGACGTGCTCAATGCAAAGGTTCTGCTCCACGATTTGAACATATTGTAGTTCATCGTAGAGAAGCAGATTATGGAAAGCAGTGACATTCTTTTTTTGATAAAAATGCAGCAATATTGCTAGCGAGAGTTGCGCGATTGCGTAACAATGTCGCGTTGGAACAAATGTCCAATTACCTTTTACGAAAAATAGTCACCACAAGCGCTTGAGTTTCAGCCCCAAGGTGCCGAGCTAGTACGCACGATGAATGACGATCCATTGAAATTCAGTTACGAGCGCAATTTACTTAAGTCAACGAGCATCCACTATGCTCCAGGATGGAAAATTTTGGTCTTTTTTCGCAAGAATTTTTAGCTGTTGGCGGATGTGCGTGGACAATTCCTTCAGTTGCGCGGTTTCTTTAGACAAGACGGCCATTGATGGTAAAATTTCAGAGCGCCTTTGCATTTCTTTGTGTGACGGTTAAAAAGCCGCCTTTTTTGATCCTGATCCTGGTTCAGGTCATTTTGCGGTCCAATCCTGTAAGATTTGTCGAAAATTTTGTGAAATGGTATCGTTTCCAAGTTGTATGAAGTCCAGACCTCCAATTACTTTCATAGGCATAGAAGACATTAGGCATGTCGGTGAGGCCATAATTATCTAAAGAATATCAGAATGCTTTGATGCACAACAACTCCTTCATCTTTATGCGTGTAACACACCTCGCACAATTTCGACAATGTACTCGTCATGTGTCGCATCTGCCAGAACTGGATATCATAGAAGGGATGGCGATCTACAAAAAGTGTCTATTGTTCTGATAACACCATGAATCGGAAGACCGCAAACGATAGACAACCCAATCTTCGAAAACAAGTTCCAAATTCGTGATTGTATAATAAAAGAACCAACTTTTCTCGTAGAGTCGCCCACATCCAGGAACATACGTGCCTCTTTATAGTTCTGATGAAAGAATGTCCAGTTTGCCCAAAATTCTTTTCTTAAAGTGATTATGTAGCATCGGCTGAGAACGGACGTCGTTTTAATATTCTGCGTTCCTTGACGTATCAATCTGTGAATCTTAATGATAGCATGACTTCGATACGCTTATGCTTTAGGCTCATTTGACTCAATTCTCAATTCACTCCGCTAGCCACCGACTACTTAACGATTTTGAAAGCCATGCATGCAATTGTTTGCTGTGTCATAGCTTTGGTGCTCCTTGATGCTGTCGTAGCTATCAACATTTACGTCGTCTCGAAAGCCATCCCCGCCATACCTGCAAATAATCGCGACAATGAGTTTTATCGCGTTAAGATTGCGGCCACCCGCCGCTTGAGAGGGCACATAATAGCGACATCCACAGCACAAAAAGAAACACTTCAAGATGAAGAAAGGGACGAAGTCGATCTTGTGGCGGCAAAAGGTCTTTTAAAAGACATGCTTAATAACTACCACGGTTCGTTGTCAATAGCAGAAGCGGAGAAGATTCTGGAGGGGGTTTTCCAATTTACCTCCCTTGGCGACGAGATTAAAACCATGTTTCAGGCGGCTGAGATTTCGAATCAAGTCACAGGGTCCGCGAAACGATGGGGGAGGATGGACGAGATGTTGCAAGAAATGCGTCAAGACTTCACCACGATAAAAGATAACTTAGAGAAGGGTGGGGAATATGAAGTGGCCGCTCAAGGACAGATTAATAAAGTTCTGATCAAAGGTTTATTCCTTCTGAACGTGATCAAGGCTCAGAGAATTATCGACATACGCAATGTACCAACCTTGCAACAACATCAAATCAGGCTAATCAAGGAAGGTATTTTCTCGTATTGGAGAAAAATCGGCATAAAATCTGAGTATTTGTCGCGAGTCCTTGTGCATACGGAACCCAGTGACATCAACCTGGTAAACTGGTATGAGATCGAGATCTACCTGTCGGGAAATAAAGCAGTTTCCAAATCAAGTGGTGCTCGATCAGAATAATCTTAGTGTTTTTTCGTTTCGATCTTGGTGTTGAACAGAGTGTTTCGAGTTCGATCTGACCAAATAGCGTAAATAGATACATTTCTTGTGTTTTTGTAGCAGCTATTCGCAAATGACATAGCGAAGCGAGTGATACGATGCATGTTGTTGATGTCGGTGAAGATGTCAGGCAGGCAACATATGCGGTCCTTAGACTTACGGTCTTATCATTGTTGACGGCATCTATGAGTTGTTTTTTAAATGACAATCTTCTTCGTCTCAGCGCTCAATTCATTAAGTAATCATCGTTCTACATGCTTTAAGACAGAAGCTTTCTTCTCTCGTTTTACAGCCTATTTATCAATTTGTCGTTGTTTCAAGCAGCAGAGCTCTATGCGCTTTTGATCGTTCGTATACATAACGTTAATGCTTTTCGCTAATACTTTTGCGCTGGAATTGCGTTCGCAAGACTGTTAAAGCTCCAACTTTAATTATTTGGAGTCTTTTTCTATCTTGCACGAGTATGCAAGGCACAAACGTCCTTACATTTCCAATTCCACCAATGCGTTTATTCACAGGCAAAGTCTGTCTCGGTCTCTTAAAAGCAACCGATCGATGGAGCAGAATTCAAGCAACATCTTGATGTGCGAGCTTGAGCAATATAAGGTAATGTCCAATAACCTTTTCAAGTTCATTGTTACTTTTCCATCGCTGACAAATCTCAATCAACATGTAGTACATTGACCTCATCAGCATCTGTGTAAATCTTTAACGATCAGCAATGAAATTAACAAAAAGAAGACTATGTCGTTGGCTAATGAGTGGCTCTCATTGCAAGTCTAAGTGAGTATGACTTTAATCGTCGTTTCTTATGCTTTTCATTGTGACGATATTGTTTTTTTTTTCAGAATTACTGACAATAAGTATATTATTACAGAATATTCTCCATACAAATTAGCACTAAGCACTATGTCATTCTAACTCACGGCACTGTTGCATGTGGAATGGCTTCTCTCTTCGACATGTCGCGCACATGGACATTGAAGGACTTGTCCTGCATTCACATTGAGTCATCGGTGCAATGTCTTCAATATGCCATACGTTTTTTCTCTATATGCTATATAAGCTAGCATCCCAAGAATATATCACTTCAGCACCAAGAACATACTCATCTATGCTGGCGAATATGAATATCCTCATCAATTTCACGTTCTTCGTACAAATCTTTCGTCAAGAAAGGTCTGTCGGTCTGCATGTTGCAGCCTAGACAGCTATGTCACCAGAAAGTCGAACTGCGCTGGTAAATTTCGACCGCTTGAGGGACAATGAGCCATTCCCTGACATTCCGTTCAGACGAACCATGAGAGTAGGAGTAATGTAATTATCTTTAATGAGCAGTTGGTAATATGTATTCATTAGGTCAAAACAAAACGTGAGCATCCTATTATGCTACTGCGTGTAATGATGGGCGCACTAAGTATATTGAAAACATGCATGTTTAGAGATCTGTACGAGCCTAAAAATTGGCCGTGTTATTCCACGCTCTTAGTGCTTTATGTGGATCCGCAATAGCGGAGTATTCCATGATGAATGATGAGCGAGCTCTCTCTGTCGCACCCGGTCGGTGATCTCCCTCACTTGCACTTTAATGTTAATAACGTTAAGCACAACAAGAGTATTTTCACGGAGTTCCAAGAGCAGACTGATATCCCATCAGACTATCTCAATCATTGCATGCATGACTGGAGAAACCCAAGTGACACATGCCGTCCAGCTCCAATGCGCTGCATGGAAAGATATTAGTATTTGCAGTGATACTGATAGCACAAAAGTTGATATTTCTAAAGCAGGCATAGCTGACTCAGCTGTCCCGTCCCGTCACATCACAACGAGGATGGTATTCCTTATTTGACATAAGGGTCAAAATCTTCTTCTCAAACTTTCCACAGATGCAAGGTTGAAGACCGACCCACAATTGCTATCTGGAAACCTCAGCTTACTGCCATAATTTGCAGTCTTATCAAGAAAATTTCTGAAGACCGCGACTAATTGCTAGCACTAGCGCAAAAAAGTTGATTGAGTACATACCCGCTTAGAAAGATTTCTGGTAACGATGCCGCGGTGTTCGTTGATGAGAGCGGTCTCAGTGTTTTCTGGTGTCGACCTAAAAACTCGTTCTCACTTAGTGATACACGGAATTGCCGTTACCTTGGAGGAGGCGCTTAGTGCGTTCAGCCTTTTACCGCTGCACGAGGATAAGACCTCGTCCCCCTTTCCAGTGACAGGAAGTATTTTGACGCACCACCATGGAATCCACGGCGATTTTTTGCTCTTTACAAAGAACAAGTCCTGGCTCTAACAACCAAGCTTGCCCTATTGCAAGTGCAAGAGTCACATCAATTATTGCCAACTACCCGCTGTGATTATGATTTAGAAAGTCTGAAATCGCTGGTCGCTCTGGCTTAGAAATTATTTGCGTCAACTTCGGCGAAGCGGACGTCTGTCCATATTGTCGTCTCATGCTTGACATACGATGTTCAAAGTACGGCGCGGCATCTAATCGACAGCACATCAACTCAAAATTCCTGCTGTTAAAAGTCACGCTTTTCTAGATGAGACAGCTGTATCAAATGTCAACAAATGGTCTAAACCAGTGCAAATGCTGTTGCCTACTGCTTGGAGGAAGCGTAACATGATCTTTTTCAAGCGGTGAGAAAGACCAAACGTACGGCAGATCATTACGCGCCACGGCATCAAAGCTAGTATAATCACAAACTACCACGAAATTTTGGTATGGGGTTGATATCTCTATTTTACGAGGTTTTGACATCAGGTACTGCAGTATCCGGCCCATCAAATGCTTTACATAAAAGCGGGCCATTTTTTGCTCTCCGTGCAGGGCTGGAGGTGATCGACCTCCCCACGGCTTGCCTTTATGGGTCAGCTCAGTTATGGTGGCCTGTCGGCTCTCTCGGAATATGGGTGTGTATCCGAGACTAAATCGAACCAGATGTTGAGATTGCTCGCTAAGCTTTGCCATTGTATAGTGTGCCATGAGACAACCCAAGACGTCTAGAATTGTATCGCTGGACCGGAGATTATGGTAGTTTAGCATCACAGGGTGATTTGTGCGCTGCTCCGTCAGCAGCAGAGCTCTTATCATCTGAGTAATTCGTAAGAGAGAAATCGTAGTATGGCTTTTGTAAGCTCATGCGAAACAAAGGATGTTTTAACATTCTATTTGGGATGTCAAGTGTATAATTGAGTGTTTTATTCGCTATGACCGTAACCAGTCCAGTGTAACCCACTCATAACTAAGCATTATAATCCGCAGACTCCACATGTGTCGGTGGGTTACTTGTAATTTTGCTCCACACCACGTTCACGTGTATTTCTCCTGCCTTTAGCATCGGTGAGTTCCTCAGCCGTATTGTCGCGCACCCTTAGCACGACGCTTAACCTAATTACGACAGAATTGCTGGTTTTGCTTCAAGGTGTAGCCAGGCTGGTATCCGCAAATCGATATCGATCAACTGCCACGTCCATAAAGACCGCAACCACGGCTTTTGGTGAAAAGCTGTCAGAGGTTTACCACAATCATTCATGTGAAACTGAGTATGGCTTGTAGAGACATGCACTGCGTTATTCTACGCAAACGCAAAAAGTGGAATCAAATTCGCTTCAGTACAGAGGTCTTTTCGCATACAGCAAGATTTAAGCATTGCTGCATATGGTCTGCAGCTATCAATCCAATCTGGTTTCAAGCTCCATGAAGATCTCCATCAGATACCATGGCTAACGGTACGCTTTTCGGCAAGCTGCTTTGTCAATGGACAGCGTGAATGTACCGTCACCGGTGGGACTATCGCTGCTAGCAGCGATAAATCCCATCTTACTCGGACAGCCCACAAAGATTATAGTACCGGTTTTACCAGAAGCGTCTCTAAAGACATCGAAATGTAGTCCATATTAGTAAACTACCAGTACTCACCGAAATGAATAGCCTCACCGTCTATGTAGTCGCAACGGCAAGACGTTTTGACGCGTTTCACACGTGCGCACACATGTGTTTACCCAATTGTACATATATACTTTAAGCTCAATAGCAGTACATCTTTTCTTTCCCAAGATGGCCATTTGTACCGGTATTACACGTGCTGTCATCATACTTTAATTTAAATTATCATCAGAGTCGCCAAACATGCGGTAGTCATGTCACTAAATGCTAAGACTTGGCACGCCTGAAGAAGGTATAGCGTTGCAGGCGTGCGCTTCGATAAAGCGACATCTTAGTGTTCGGATACCTCGCTTCTAAGTATTAGCAGCGCAACACATGATGTGTCACATCCTTAATCTGTACGGATAACCTTACCAATTAGCGACGTCACTGCTGTAACATGCTACAATTTATAGTTGGGGCGACGTGTAATCACATCCGCCACTCAAGCCGACCCAGCGCTTACCTTATCTCAAAGGTGTACTCGACAATGGAGAATAACTATCTTACTATTTTCTTTTCGGTATGTGGTGACGCCGTCGCTATACATAACCTACATGGACCACAAACGGCATGGAGCTAAGAAATTGCGCCATAATATTAACAAAAATATAATTCCTTGCTAATAGCTCCCGATCATCAACAAGATTCTACTCTCATAAATCCAGTCACAATCTTGATAACGTGTTCTTGCGCATTTGTATTTGCATTAAATAAAGCGCTGAAGCTGAACAGAGGACGAGGAATCGCTGAAGGAAGAGCCAGGGTTGAAGATTGTATTATATTAGTTTTCTCACTTCCTCGAAGCACCGCACCCCAATACCAATTCATATCCTTGTAAGAAGATTTGTGTGCTTAGCTATGTTAGGAAGAATTTGCACTGTACACGGCTGGTCAACTTGGCCAGCCGAATAACCGTTGTTACCCTGGTCATTCTAGAATTGCTCTTATCTCGCGTAATCTGCCCGCAGTCCACGAATCCCAATGAGATAACTACAAATGGGGGATTTCGTCGACGCCAAAA